CTGGTACTAGAGTTACAGATGGTTGTTAGTCACCATGTGGGTGGAGAAACTAAACCTGGGTCCTCTGTAAGAGCAGCCAGTGCTCTTAACTGTGGAGCCACCTCTCCAGTCCAGCATTGTTTTTTCTAGTATTTGTGACTGATGCAAGTATTCCAAAGGTCTCTGGGACATTTCCAGGTAAGGGGCCAATGGAATAATAATGGACCTGGTTAACAGTGGGACAGTTCTGTCCTCAGCTCTTTCCATTTGGACATCTGAAATGTCAGCATAGCTTATCTCTTTTGAAAGCATGAAAGGAGAAAAAGGCCACAGCAGGCTGTGGAAAGGTCTGTCAAGGTATTCAGCACAGCTGTAGGATGTGTGGTGTGACAACATGTGGTCTGTGCTTCCTATTTCTGTCTCTCTTTGCTGAGAATGACATAGTCACAGAAGTTGCATCTAACATCATACCCATCCATCAAGCATCACCTGAGCGTCAAGAATATGTTTGATTTGGATGCAGTTAATGTGCTACATGCTCAAAATATGCACTACGTTTCAGAGACTCAGTATACAAAATACAATGCAGATTTTAAAAAATAATGTTTTATAGGAATATAATTTTATTGAACTTAAAAAAAATTTTTTTGTTTTTTTTCTGTCCTTTTTTTAAAATTAATTAATTTATTTATTTTTTTAATTAGAAGAAGCATTTCATTACAACAGCATTAACCTATTCAATAACATTTTTCTGAGCTAGGGTACATCTCTTTCAAAATTGGCTGTACATTTTTAGGTTTACAGAGGAATTATTACGCTTGTACAATCTTTTACTGATTATAAACTCTACAAGACATAAAATTAAATGAGGTTTTAATGTTTAGAAAAGATCTCCACTTCGTTGTTAAAATACAGTTTCATACAGAAAAATTCATTTTAAGGCAACTGACATTGAGACGTTTTCACATGCATTTCTAATCTCTATATATATGACTATTACTGGTCACAGTCACTTACTTTCTGAGTTCCGTGGCATCTGAGTATGAATATAAACTCGTCAGATAAACAGCCTTCTTCTCCCTCTAGAGCCTCCATACTCTGTCATCCCTGCCAATGTCCACTGTGTTGTCAGGACCCCCATCTATTGCCCCCATCTGTCCTTCTGATAAATCTAGTCAGCCAGAGGTCCCTGTTCCAGGAGGATCAGCTGTTCCTCATCTACAGCAATCCATTGTCAGTATTCCTTTGGATAGAATTGGGG